CTGTTTCATAAGAGCTTTATGGAACCTAAATAGTGATAGAGCCACTCAGTGCACATAGATTAAGATATTGAAAGAGATCACGATGCTTTACGTTACTTTACATATCTACTATAGGACGTTTAACGCTTATGCCTATCTAAGAGCTATCTAACCATTTTAGGAAATGCTAGTCATCGATACGTTCCGGTACTAATCTGTATTTATTTATTTTGAGGTCATACACAAATGGGTCTGACGGATCTTCAGGTCAGAAATCTCGAAGGTCAGCGACTGTATCAACACAAAAAATGTAAAATTACATGACGCACTTGACCCTGGCCATTACCCGCATTCCTGGATCCAGATTGCATATGTCATCATCATCATCATTTCGGCTATAGGACCTTACCCAATGATTTCCACAATAGCCGGTTGGTAGCGGTCTACATCCAGCGCCTCCTCTACTCCAGAACCTTGCTGCCCCACGGCCGTCAGTTTTGCGTACTATGTGCCCTGCCCATTACCACTTCAACTTGCTAAATCCGTTGGGCTATGTCAGCGACTTTAGTTCATTTACGGATCTCCTCATTTCTGATTCAATCGATTGCGCAAACTAAAATAGATACTTCAATAATTATAATTCCCATGCGTAATCAGTGAAGAACAAAATGCTATCGGGAATTGGGATGAGTCAGCGCACGTGGCAGAGGCGCACGCGCATCTAAGTACAAAGTGAACTGTGGCTTCTAATGTAGCTGTAATAAGGTCGAACTTGCTACAAATGATATTAAATTATGAGGAGGATAATAAATAATTTTCGACTAGAGGATTTTCTATGAACTTAGGGTGTGAAGATGTCCCGTAAACATTAACAAAGAAGAAGAGGAAAATCGGTTAGTAAAATAAAAGTGGGAATAACTTGACGGTAATCCCAAAGGAGATCATTACAATCCCAGTGTTAAAAATGATGACATCTACATACCTTTATCAACTAATTAATTAAAACAATACAAACGTAGGTACTAATATTCCCATAACCTCGACATGAGTTTGCTTGTGTCAGGAGGTTTCAAGAACACTCTAATCCATCCATAACTTCTCCATTTCGGGTGAAATTATTCAAATAAAAGGTAAGACCTAGATAGCAAAAGATGGAAACTTTCCAATAAGATAAAAACTCTTTAATGGGTCTTCTGAACCACACGACAAGTATAAACACTTTAAAATCAAAATACTTATTAGGTAAGTAAACATAGACCGTAAAGACACGTTGTTACAAAATCACTCCAATCCCAACTGCATAAGGTAGGTACATAGAGTTTAGCTTGACGTACTGTGGACTGTACTCAATTAAGGTAGGTAAAGTCCAAGCCTAGGGGATTTACTTTGGATAATGAACAGTGCAGCGGAAACAAGCATTCCATCTAATGACCGTTAGGTTTACCTATTGTTCAGGGTAAACTACGGAAGGCTGCACATCTGTTCTGTAATCAAGTGCTTAAACTATGTCGCTTTATGTAAGTAATAGTTTTGATAAGTGCTAAGTGAATAAGCCTTCAAAAAAGAAAAAAAAGGCATTTAAGAAAAACATCAAATAAAACAATCATTAATTTCTCTTCATAACTATTGATAGCCTAAGCTTTTTCATTCCAAAAAAAATCATCGGGGAATTTGTACATCTCATATTCAGAAAGATTTAACTACAATATCGCATCGTAACTTCGTTCATTTGTTTCAGTCAAATGACATCCACTGCTGGACTAAGTAAGGCCTCCACCAAGGATTTCCGCTGCCCACATTCAGGTGCTACCTGCGACATAATATCACCAGATCATCGGTCCACCTAGTGTTTTGCCCCAACAACTATCAGCTCCACAAGCTATGTGCCCCGCCCACATAAGCTTGGCAATTTTGCGGGCTATATCGTTTACTTTGGTTTTCCTGCAGTTCTCCCTATTTCTGATTCGATCACGGTAACCCCAAAAAGTTTCTAGTCAACCATTTCCGAAAACACCGAAGTTATCAGTTCCAAAAAAAGATACACAGTCAAATATTTTGGGTGACAAAAGTGGGTCGCGTCATGCTTTGCGGAATGACGTCTTTACGGATTAACGCGTGGGCCGATGTAGCAGAACTAATATTTACACAAACTGGGCTTTGTCACTAGCCAATGATAGTGTTTGAGAGCTAGATAACTGATATTATGTAAATAAAATAAAAATATACTTGGAAATTTTTACACTGCGCCGCTAGTCCCAAACTAAGCAAAGCTTGTATGGGTACTAGACAACGGATGTAAACATACTAAAATACTTTTTTTTGTAAATAACTACATACATATTATACATAGAAAACACCCAGACTCGTCACAGAAATTAAAATTCATCATTTCAATTTGTGCCCGACAGGGAATCGAACCCGGGACCTCTCGGCATAGTTTTTTTTTTTATGTGACAGGAGGCAAACAAGAAGAATAGTGGTCCGTTCTGAACCACTACACCAAACGGCCGACTTTATGTATCTAAGTATAATATGTAAGAGGATGGTTGGCAGTCCACAACAGTACGTTTCTCTAGAAACTTCCTGCCCCGTACAACCAAACTGTGGAATGGACAGTCGTTTGCTGTGTTTCCGGACCGATACGACCTGCAGCCTTTCAAGAAGAGAGCGTATCTTCACCTTAAAGGCCGGCAACGTACCTGTAACGCCCCTGGGTCTGCGGGTGTCTATGGGCGACGGTAATCACTTACCATCAGGTGATCCGTCAGCTCGTTTGCCTCCAGTCACATAAAAAAAGAGGACGTACTGTGTTCGATTCCTGCACAACAATACAAATATTTTGTGTATAAAATGTAAGCGCAAAACACACCGAGGCAGTGCCGGGAAGTAACGGTGTAGCCTACTTATATGGATAACCAAAGTTTAGTGCAAAAAATCTGCGGCTCTAATAAATTGTTTAGGTTGAAATCTGGTTGAGGTTTGCTGGTCAGGGTCCCATTTGAATCTACTATATTAGGGACGTGCTTCTGCAGTGAAGACTAAATAAAATGAACTGATGATGACAAAAATGTAGGTAGTATAAAATACACACAATGTGGACCGAACAACTAAAAGGGTAGTAGGAAGGCGCTGGATGCAGGCCGCTGCCAACCGTGCGATGTGGAGGTCATTGGGGGAGGCCTATGTTCAGCAGTGGACGTCCTGTGGCTGAAATGATGATGATGATGATAAAATACTCTTATGGTTAAAGACACTTATTGCGGTCACATTGAAAATCCATATGAGCGGAAAGACTTCCACACACATTCATAATTTGTGTTTTGTAGTAAATCACCATATTTGGAACTATGACGTATGATCTCTGCATAGTTACGAAGTACCGGATCTGATAAGTGATCCCTTTAGATTACGAGAGCTAACAATGAGTAACATAACGTAACGTGACGTAACATTGTTATGATTCATGGTGTTATCAATACTATTTCTTTCATTTGGACGTGCTGTCACATGTTTAATGGGATACTTTAGTAAAAGATAACGTTGAATGAACAACTAACTTATAAAATTAAAGGCCTATACTTACGCGCAAGCAGAAAATCGAACGCACGGCGTTGAATAGAGCTCTGTGATTGGTTCGTATGTCACCCTGTGCGTCCACGCGCACTGTGAGACCTCATAGTAATGTTTGTGAATACGGGCGTTAGCGCTTACCTAATATACATAGATATTTTATGACCTAGCCCTAAACTAGGCACTGTGCAGTGCTTGTACAATACATAACGTATTTTTGAACTGTAGGTAATTAAAAAATGAAAATCAAACTGCATTACAAAAAATGTATATTTCATTGATATAAAAACGTCGACTAGCTATTGCTTACAATATGTGTAATTAATTACATTTCAATATTAATCGCACAACTTTATTTGTTTGTAAAATACGTTACTACTCAACCACGATAAAACAAAAGCTAGACAATTTTAGAGTTAACTTGATTGTAATTAAGGCTATAATTACTTTTACTTTTTCCCAAAATAATTTGTTACTAATTCTTACAGATAAAATTAGGTTACAAGGGAATTTGTGTTTTGTCATTATTGTGTTAAAACTTAAGTTTGTTTAAACATCACACACAAGTTAGGTAGGTCGAAATAATTATCGTGGTCTATTATTTGCACAAATTGATACTATTAATAATTACTGACAAACATTCTAGTCTAGATTTAAATAAAGCTTCAATGGATATAAAAATATGGCCTCTTTGATGAGATTATTTAAGTTGACACATTTTTGAGTGAAAATTCATTAATATTTTTGTATCATTTTTAAACATTTTTTTTTTTAGTTTTTTATTTCTACATTTTGAGCATTTTATTATTCTTAAGCGAATACAAAAGGCATCATTATAAAAATTATAGCTACTTATTTAAATGAGGATATCTTATCGTTGATTATTATAACATTATTATCACTGTTTTGAACTGGTTTTATTATTATTTAAGCCAAACTTTAAATGCGGTCACATCATAAAAACTGGAAATCACTAATACTAAAAATCACACACTTATATTTTTACTAATTATTTCTACAATTTCCTTAATTATTATTTGGGTCAGCCATCACAAAATTAAAGTATTAATGGACTAAACACAAAATAAACATAGCTAATAAATAAATTCTGCTACTTAAAACAAAATTTTACTAAGAAAACCTGTTTAAAAATAAAAGGACAGTGAAAGTAATTACAAAAAGTAAAAAATTCGAAGAATACATTTGTCTATTATTTCAGATCATAGCACAAAAACCTTAAATTCAATGTAATTACATAGTTTAGAAAAAAATAATATATTTTAGTTGGTTTTTTGAGAGGATTAAAAAAAAATCTCTCAGGTTGTCATTTTTATTGCCTTTTTGAGGTGTCAAAAAAGTTATATTTCGTTATATCACTGCAACAATTGGTTTCAAATTATTGTATTTTTCTTATTTTCAGCCCAATAATTTTGTTTTCGAATATTTTTTCCTTGCAAAAGCCCGTATAGTTAAAATATTTCCTATTATATTTTATTTTTACCTACTTTATTTCCTTCTCAGTCTAGGTAAGGCAGTAGGCAGTCATCGACGACGGTGACGTTCATGTGCCAGCTGAAGTGGTTAACGCCAGGTGTCGTCACAATATGGAGACGACCGCTAGCGTCCAGTGCCCGAAGCCCTATACGGTCTTCCTTGTAAATGTCTTGCCCTCGCATCTCTATCACAGTTTCGTTCGCGTCGTAGTAGCCGAATTGGCTGGAAAAAGAAAAAAATCATTCTTAGTGAAAAAAACATTCATCTGATCCGAAAAGGTCACCCTCACTTCACTTCTCAGCATCAGCCGATGACATGTTGTCTCGAAGTGGTGGTAGAGGAGGGCAAGATATATTTGTATTTGGAATGTTTATTTATATTAGTGCCCTGAAAAAGGGTCATACTTATAAAAGTATTTTGAATTTGGTCAGCGTTTGATACAATAACTTTTTGCATAGGACTAAAATCTGAAAAATAAATGCATTTCCCAAACAAATAGTAACAGCTGATCGGTCAACTAAGTATAGTTACGTAATTTAAATAATCCATCCTTTACAAAAATTTGCTCATTCCTAAAAAAAGAGACTTGAAACTGCAACATTCTCACTCATAATAATGATCAATACTTGAGAAAGTAGCATTATTATTATTACCAAAACATTGTTTATAACCTTCAGTTTTAGGACCAATCTGTATTAATTCTACCTAAAGCAGTGAATTATAGAGGGAAGTTAAAATAACAATATTTTCTTTACAAACCTGCTTTGCCACGGAGTGATGACGTTATCATCGGGACCTCCGATGAGGACCAACCTCTTCAGTCTTAGGAGATTGTTCTTGAAATCATCTGTTTTTGCAGACCTGAAAATTATTGAAAACATAAATTAAAATTAAATTAAATATGAAAAAAAACAATTAGGTACTTATTATTAATTTAAGTAAAATAATAATAACAATCCACAGACTAATAAAAATTTAGCAATGCTCGTAATAATTGTAAAAAAAATATATTAAAAAAATATTCCCAAAAATTTTAATGACGATAAAAATAAAATAAAAACTACATCAGAAATGTATTTATAAAAAACAAAAAGACAGGTTCCACCGAGATTTGAACTCGGATCGCTGGATTCAGAGTCCAGAGTGCTAACCATTACACCATGGAACCGGCTGACAGGATGGGCGAAATTCGCGATCACATAGTTGGCACCAGTAGTGCGAGACATTGGCATAGAAATAATGACGTAGAATTTTCGAAAACTAGCTTCGTTCCGTAACTTCGCCTGAGTTTTAAAATTTTTTAGAGTATTTTCTTTTCTTCTTATAAACTTTCATTGGAAGTCAATGATATTATTTTGGCACTGAGCAATTTGTTTGCAATTTTGCATCATATTAAAATGCTACTGAATAATTTAATTATTTTAGTAGCTTGATACAAAAATATTTATGCATGAATATATTTTTATTTTCTATTCTTAGGAGTTTGTAGGTTGTGGATTTCATTCTCAACAGCGACCTCTATTGGTAAAGTACAGCGTTACTTGATATGAACAAACTTAATGGATGAACTTAAACTTGAAGTACTATTTCCTACAATAGTAGGGATTGTTCCAGTAGTTGCCGATTTTTTTTTTAAATTTGAATCAGCTATTTTTGATATAGTTTGATACTTAAGATTATTACTTGTGACATTATTTTTAGATTAATACATTAGTATTTTTTATTTACTAGAAATACTCTAGTTATCCCAGACCTGGCCATACAAATATTGAGAAGAAATACTCTAAGGTTTTTGTATACTCACTACTATTCTGCCATGCTAGCGATATCGGCAGTAACTCCAATATTTTGCTGTTAAAAGTCCTCTCAGCTCATTTGAAATAGAGCTCATTATAGTTTTATCAAAAAATGGAGGGTCATTCCATCGTTTCGGGTGTTACGTTCGTACACACATATTCAACAATTTCTTGTATTTCATTGAAATAGTATTTTAATAATGTTAGTGCCATAATCTGTCCGTTTTGAGTTGTTTTATCTAAATAATAAAGTTTGTACAGCTTAGAATGTAGGATAACGAAAATATGAGTCGAAAAGTGTGCGTTTCGGGCGTTACGAGATTTTGCCCTCTATGTTCTGAGAGTTACTACTGATATTGCTAGCATGGCAGTAATAATAGCCTTTAAAAGGTATTAGCATACAAGTGTTCCTTACTTGATATGATTGTTAATATACGGCAGGAACACACTATAGGTCTCGTACAGCTCCTGATGGTAGGGATCGTTCCAATAGTTGCCTACAGACGTGTGCTGACCCACCCGGGAATAGAACAGCTCCCATACCGTGTCTTTGACTAGGCCAGGGAACACTAGGTGGAGGAATCCAGCTGAAATTATAAAGAAAGTAAAGGTTAAATTAACTAAATAATTTACAATGATGCAAAAATACCATAAGTCCATAATGGTTGCCAATTGTGTTAATAATTTAACATTCTACAATAAAAAAAATTGTATCAATGTTCAGTTTTTCGATATTCTTTTTCATAATATTAGGTCATGGACTATTTATAAATGATATTTTATATTGGGGTAATCTAGACAAGCATTTTAATAGTTTGTAATAGATTGGATTAATTAAAAATATGGATGGAGAATAAAGTTTTTTAAAATATTCTGTTACTGTAATAATATTTAAAAAAATCTTATCAGAACACATACCTCCATATTGCCCAGCTTGTGGTGAGCTCAACGATATAAATGTGTCAACAGACACATTTGAAAATGTTTGTACTATGCCTCGCGCTATCAAGCCACCCTGGGAATACCCTGGAAAACAATTTAAAACAAATGAAACATGATTATGTTAATAATTTAAGAAAAAGAAATAATAAGAATAACTTTATTAACACAAAATCGTAATAATAGGTACCTACTTCAACTCTTCAAGTGCTTGATTAATAAGCAAAAGTTTACACATACCTGATGAGGGCATTTGAATGAATGTTTACGAATGTATGTATAAACAATATCCAGTCACTGTTTTACTAGGATTTATTATAAACATAATATATAGATGACTATTGTGATTGAAAAATCTTTTGATAGAGCTGTTCATTGATAAATACACTTGCGAGCAAAAGTATGGAATCACTTACATGAAGTTGTTTCCACGCGATCTTGTGTACTAACCAATTTGTTAGTAACAAAAAAAGTAGCACCATTTTAAAGATTAAACTTTTAACTTTAAATTGATATCAAATTCATTTAAATCACACCAGTATTTAAAAAGATATCCCGGCTGATGTGAAGAAGTAACGAAAAAGACATGTATCAACTGTTTGATACGTCGCGAGTTGCGGCCTATTTACCCCCCATAAAAGCAAGTGCTTTCGGATTTTTGCTTTCACACGTTGATCCATACACATCTCCTATTCTTTTGACTTTTTACCTGGGATTCTACACCTTCAGAAGCAGCACAAATCGTTGCACTATTGCAAGAAGGGCTCAGCCAGCGGGCTGTCGCACGTCAGCTCCACATAAGCCAGTCCTGGGTTTCGAAAGTTTGAAGACGCTTTCGGGATACCGGTGGCTTTATCCTGAGACCAAGTTCTGAACATTGCCAGTGCATATCGCAGAGGGAAAACCGTTTTTTCATGTCAACTTCTCTACGAAATCGTCATTTGACTGGTATCGACGTCCAGCAAGAGCTCAGAAATGTTCGTAGGATAGCTGTTAGCAAGTGGACAGTTCGTCTAAGATATAAACAATAGAATTTGACTCCAAAAAGGCCTGCCACAGGCTTGAAACTGACGGCAGGTCACCGATAAGCACGCTTTCAATTTGCTCCTACACATCTCGATGGGAAGTCGAGCAAGCCACCCCCATAAGCCAATGTTTTAGCGAACCAGCACTGCACAAATCGCTCCCCAGGCCGTCTATAGACCCGACCTCTTCGACTGCTGCACTGCAAAAACAGTCTGCATTCATCGGAGAACAAAACTCGCCTCCATTACTCGCCTTCCGAGTGCGAGCTAATTGAAAGCGTGCTTGTCGGTGACCTGCCGTCAGTTTCCAGCCTGTGGCAGGCCTTTTTGGAGTCAAATTTTATTGCTCATATCTTAGACGAACTGTCCACTCGCTAACAGCTATCCTACGAACATTTCTGAGCTCTTGCTGGACGTCGATACCAGTCAAATGACGATTTCGTAGAGAAGTTGACATGAAAAAACGGTTTTCCCTCTGCGATGTGCACCGGCAATGTTCAGAACTTGGTCTCAGGATAAAGCCACCGGTATCCCGAAAGCGTCTTCAAACTTTCGAAACCCAGGACTGGCTTATGTGGAGCTGACGTGCGACAGCCCCCTGGCTGAGCCCTTCTTGCAATAGTGCAACGATTTGTGCTGCTTCTGAAGGTGTAGAATCCCAGGTAAAGTGTCAAAAGAAGCGGAGATGTGTATGGATCAACGTGTGAAAGCAAAAATCCGAAAGTACTTGCTTTTATGGGGGGTAAATAGGCCGCAACTCGCGACGTATCAAACAGTTGATACATGTCTTTTTCGTTACTTCTTCACATCAGCCGGGACATCTTTTTAAATACTGGTGTGATTTAAATGAATTTGGTATCAATTTAAAGTTAAAAGTTTAATCTTTAAAATGGTGCTACTTTTTTTGTTACTAACAAATTCGTTAGTACACAAGATCGCGTGGAAACAACTTCATGTAAGTGATTCCATACTTTTGCTCGCGAGTGTAGAAAATTGTTTTTGCTACTACAAAATTAAATTTTTCAAGCAGAAATAATGATATTATTATTAAGAATCGTGCATTATTTGTTTTATTTATGACAAATGTCTATATCTTTATGAATAAAACATGATTCGAATCAATTAACATAAATATAATGTGGTGAATTATGGATCTTCCTGGATACCACCACATTCACATCCTTGCTACATTTAAATTTTTTAAATCGTACAGCATAATTGGGACTAAAACAACTAATTTTCATTACAGAATACCATGTTCTTTTAATTTATTTACTTTAACAGACATATCCCTAACACAATAACATAATATTCTATGATTTCTTACTTCATTCTTACTTACCAATAAGATTAATCCCTTCAGGGTGTCTGGACGAAATGTTGGCCACGTCTAGACCAATCTCAAGCACTTGATGCCACATCGTTTCCAAACTGGACCAGCTTTCGAACCGATTCACGTTGTACACTATCGTGCCAGGATGTTTCTGGAAATCATAGTAGTGTGAAATTAGTCTTTTTTCAAGAAGGTTCTTTATATCGTGGTTTCAATTCCCGCCTTAGGCAGTTCGATTTTTTCAAGTTATTTATAATTTTTAAATTAGTTTGAGATGCGACTCTTAACGCTAAAAATTAAATAACTAGGTTCTTTATAATTTGACCTGATAAAGATTTTGATGCTATTCTATAATGTTTGTAAGGTCTAATTCCAGAAAAAGAAAAAAAATGTATTTAAAGGCCAAACCTCAGTCATAAAGAGTAAACTACGTCACAGTGTATGTTTTTAGTGTAACTACTATTGAAGGTTGTATCCCTTGTAATCCCTTAATGATAATAAAATCACCAAAATCTGATGTTTTATTAGTTTAAAATTAATAATTATTTTTAACAATTTTATACTACTATCGTAGTAATTAAAGGCAAAATTAATATGCCTTCTAAATTAATGAATTACGGATAGAAGTTTCAAGTACTGACCTCTTGAATCCTGTGTGATATCATTTCCATACTTCCACTTCCCGTCATGATGCCATGTATCAAAACGACAGGTTTATAACAAAGAATTTGATACGCAAGGAGTAGTATGCCGAACAAACTCAATTTTAATTCCATTTTTGTTGATCTGAGAACAAAGAAACCACAATGAAAACCCTACCAACCCGTCCTGCATAAACACGAACGAGATAGTGAGATACACACGAGTATTGATAGACGTAAATAAATAGCTGCTATCGTCAGAAATAGTTTTCAAAACAATCAAAGGGGGAAGGACATAATTTACGTAAATTTTGCAATGATAGCAGCTTGCGACAAGACGAAAACAAACAAAACATGAATGAATAAATTTGATTGATGAGTTTGACAAAGTGGAGGCGTTTGGCCGAAAATAGAATTATTAGCGCTTTAAGAATAATGAGGTTCGGTTAGTTAGCGGTAAGTGCTATCAATGCTAAAAAAATGTAAAACGTCACTGTTGAAGTTAAAAAAACGTATCGTCGCCGAAAACACGCTAAAGTTTTTGGCAGTTGCCAAAGCCATCGCCATTTTGCCTACAATTTCTAACAAATTCTATTTTTAGCCAAACGCCCCCATTGCCTGATAACAATGACATTTTTGACACGGAGAAATTAGAGTTGTGCAGCAAAAAAATACGGACGGAACGTAATATCATTAAAACCCGATATGTTTACCGAGTCACTGAACTGGTTCATTGTTAAACATTTTCAAATTATACCTTGTAGGTATACTTTTTCATTCAATCTTGCATTTTGCAAGTTAGGAATATTTGCCGTTTCTCATTCATAATCTCGTAACAGTTATGCACATGACTGTGACATTTAATTTGTTGTTCTGAATAAAAAATCTATCATTTATGTATTTTTCAAATTAGTAACAGTCCCATTAGTCAGCCGATAGTTGCGTCGGCTTTTAATTTGTTAGTATGTGCTCAAACTAACGAAAACTGTCTGGTAGAGATAAAGCGCGACAAAGTTCAAAAGATGAAGCCCGTAACGTCAAAGCGTGCTTAACAGTGTAGCACTTTATGACGTCACGCGGAACTTCAACGCATGAAAACTTTGTAATAATTACTTGTGATGACATGTTATTTTTTGATTATTAATGACGTAAATTATTTTTTAATTTTAATTTAATTTACGAACTATTTTTTTAGGAAACTAGCCTATCGGCGGTGTGCGCCAGTGGGGTTCGAATTCGAACCAGCGTTCCTCAGACGTCGAGTTATCGAGTACAGGCCGATACTCGACTCCGACCGACCTCTCCACCCTCCTCCTCCACCCTTCGGCTGTCATGCTCGTGGCCTAATTTTCTTTCTACCTTGCATTTTACTTTCATTGATACTGATATTATTATATTTTGTTTTATGTCTAATTATTTTTATTAAACGAAGTATATTGTCGGCCGTTTGGTGTAGTGGTTCAGAACGGACTACCTACTATGCCGAGAGGTCCCGGGTTCGATTCCCGGCCGGGCAGAAATTGAAATGATGAATTATGCACTAGTATCGAATTTAGTACAAGTATTGACTCTGTGATCTGTGTACATGTCACCGGAAAATAACAAGACTCGTAAGTTGATCAATTTTCTAGGTAGTTGATCAACTCTCGGAAAATAATAAACGGCATTTGAAATGTACTATATAACGTATGTATTTTAGTAAGTTGATTAATTTACGGCGTCTTGCCGTTAAATCATCCGACAAAGGCAAGGTGCACGTTGATTGGTTAAAAGACTCCCGTGCTTTTATACCGCTCCCCGCCACCCGGCCGCCGCCATTACCGGTTTAAACGTAAACAAATCTATCTATTTTCTTTATTCACAGTAGTAAAATTAGCAATTGTTGTTTTGTGTGGTAATAATTAGAGATGGGTTTCCACCCGGGTAAAAACCCACATGAGGGTAAAAACCCAATAAAAACCCGTTTCATTCCACCCGTGGGTGTTTACACCGGGTGAAAACAAATAATTTTATAATTATTTCAATTGGTATCTTTTCTTTATTTTTATTGAATTTTTCTCACTTAAGTTTATTGATTAATAAGTAATAAGTCAAATTTAACACTAATATGCATTTATATCAAGGCCAAATCGTAANAAGATAGATCAACCCTTTACCTAGGTATATACCTACTTCTTGGCACTTATAATACCGACATTCATGATTAAAAAAAGTCTTCAAGCAAGAACACTTGACTTCAAGTCTTTTAACTTTCTAGAGTAGTCCTGAATAGATGATCCTTAAATCATTTTGACTGTCATAATCGATTACAGTAGGTACTGGGTTCAGTAAGGGTTTCAAACCATATAGTAAACAATACATTTTTATGGCTCTCCATTCAGTTAGTCAAATAATTCCATCATAAATGGAAATAACCGTAACCCTCTTCTACACATTATTCATCATCCATCATCATTTCAACCATAGAACGTCCACTGCTGAACATAGGCCTCCCCCAATGATTTCCACAATGGCCGCTTGGTGGTGCCCTGCATCCAGCGCCTTCCTGCTACCTTTATGAGGTCGTCGGTCCACCTTGTGGGTGGGCGTCCTACGCTGCGCTTTCCGGTACGTGGCCTCTACTCCAGAACCTTGCTGCCCCGTCGGCCATTAGTTCTGCGTACTATGTGCCCTGCCCATTGTCACTTTAGCTTGCTAATCCGTTGGGCTATGTCAACGACTTTGGTTCGTTTACGGATCTCCTCCTCATTTCTGATTCGATCTTGTAAAGAAACACCGAGCATAGCCCTATCCATAGCACGTTGTGCAATTTTGAGCTTATTTATAAGGCCTATATTGAGATGCCACGTTTCCGAGCCGTATTGCCACACATTATTGCAGATCCATTATGTACACCTCTCCTATAGTTTTATATGCCAGCTAACGTACAAAAACTGCTGTTACATGGTGCAGATAATGTGATAACATTTTGGTGTACTGCAAACCTGCCTATTGGATTCTTTCGGAAAAAGTAAGTACGTGAGTGACTTTGATTATTTTAAACACTCTGATCAAAATAAGTAAATAGGCTAAAATATATTTTTTTGATTGTTTTTCGAACGAAGATAATAATTGAAGACATGGATGGAAGAAGGTGATAAATGTCGGATTTCAGATTTTTCTCAGTTCGATGATTGGGTAAAATGGGTAAAGGTATGCTTTATGCTTTATGTTTGAGGCTACTTGTAAAGGTGCTATGTACGTTATCCTTTTAGCCGAAGGGAAAGAAACTTACACCTCTTTAAAGGAGCCAAAAAAAAAGAACATTTTTGCGAAAGTATAAGACTATTCAACAAAAGAACTGGAAATTACAGTTCCGCTACCTACTGTAATCGATTATGACAGTCAAAATGATTTAAGGATCTATTCAGGACTACTCTAGAAAGTTAAAAAACTTGAAGTCAAGTGTTCTTGCTTGAAGACTTTTTTAAATTATGTATGTCGGTATTATAAGTGCCAAGAAGTAGGTATACAGGGTCCTTCTAAACTAGCTACATTCCTTTTAATGGGGGCATCTATACGGTACACTGAACAAGTTCACCAAATTTGAGTATGTGTTTTATAATGATTTTACAAAGTTACATTTTCTAACAAAAATAAAAATTCATTTCGTCTTACATAATGGAACATGCTGTATTTTTTACTCACACAACAAAGCTGTAGTGTATTCATTCTNTTCAGTTCCAGTCACCCTGTATAGCATAGACGAACTTTAATATCCCTATCTCTAAAATGTAAATATTAAAACAACATAATCTAAGTGTCTGTCGACCAATCAGAGAAAAGTGTATTAAGTGACGGATAATAGTGTATCGTCAAATAGTACACTGGGCAACGATTGGCCCATTTGTGGATGATTTTACTTGTAGCAATACAGTGTGAGTCACGTTAAAGTGTACATATGAAAATAGATGAAATTAGACCTATTTTTATCGACAAAAAAGAGGTCAAAAATTTTTTGAGATTTTTTTTAATTTTTTTATAGAATTTTTTTTCTTCCTATTACTTATTGTAAAGAAAACGTAATAACTTTTAAACTAAGCGGTATATCCTGATAAAATAAAAACAGTAATAATGCTAAATAACAGGCGATACTAAAAAAATACATAAATTATACAAAAAATGACAACAAATAAAAAAAAATGATACTTTTTGAAAAAAAAACTGCTTTTAAATTCGTGTTTTTTTGGTTAATTGATAAATTTCTCCAAAAAATGCCCCTATAACAGGTGGTTTTTATTACTTTTTATTATTCTCTATCGTATTATCTTTGTGAAACCAAAAATCGCATGTCTCTATCCCTATCACAACATTTGCTATGATCGTTTGAACAAAGGCCTGCCACAACATTATTCTCCGCTACAGGTAGAGACAATTTTAATTTTAACTAAAATGTTTATTTTACTTTGAAATCTTTTGTTTTTATTTGAAATCTAACTTGTCTTTATCAAAATTACAAATATAGAGCCATTTTCAGTTTCGTTGTTAACGAAGCTTTGAATGGCGCGCCCGGAGAGGCTTAGTTCAAACGATCATTGCAAACGTTGTGATAGGGATAGAGACATGCGATTTTTGGTTTTACGAAGGTAATACGATAGAGAATAATACAAAGTAATAAAAACCACCGGTTATAGGGGCATTTTTTGGAGAAATTTATCAAATAACCAAAAAAACACGAATTTAAAAGCAGATTTTATTCAAAAAGTATCATTTTTTATTATTTGTTGGCCTTTTTTGTGTATTTTATGTATTTTTTTAGTATCGCCTGTTATTTAGCATTATTACTGTTTTTATTTTATCAGGATATACCGCTTAGTTTAAAAGTTATTACGTTTTCTTTACAATAAGTAATTGGAAGAAAAAAAATTCTATAAAAAATTCAAAAAAAATCTCAAAAAATTTTTGACCTCTTTTTTGTCGATAAAAATAGGTCTAGTTTCATCTATTTTCATATGTACACTTTAACGTGACTCACACTGTATAGTTAATTATTAAATTACGGCTAGGTACCGTAAGTTGACCAATTAGCTAAAATTCGATGCGTTAAATAGTACATTTCAACTGCCGTTTGTTATTTTCCGAGAGTTGATCAACTTCCTAGAAAATTGATCAACTTACGAGTCTTGTTATTTTCCGATGACATACATAATCCAACATGCCTCATCTCTAGATCTGTCAACTGTCAGTTTTTTGTCAAAAACCACGAAAAACGTGGATTTGTTGTTGTGATTTTATTGTGATGAATTTCGAAAAAGTGCTATAAAAATCGAAAAATCCTAGAAAAACATCTTGAAGCAACGCATGTTATGGTTTGCGTTCTTTACCCAACCGTAAGTTTGAATCACAAAAACAGTTTTTAGCAAACTTTTATTTAGGTTATGTTTCTTAGTCGTGGTATTATTTATTTCAGATTTAAAAGTAAGGATCAATTCTAACACAATGGCAGCCACTTCGTTATCGGAGCAGCTGAAAAAGCTGTCAGCTCCGCAGTCTGCAATTTATAAGGAGGGTAAGAAGAAGGCATCCTTACTCTTTGACCCAAAAGAAGCCGGCCTCAAGGATAGGGACACCTTCTATGAGATTGGTCTGAGCGGGCTGAATGATTTGATAGCGTTATACGAAGGATTTAGAGTTTATGAAGACTCCCTATTCAGTCAATCGTCCAAGGAATTTGAAAGAGCCGTCCAAAGCAAAGAAGTCAACCAAAATCTTGATCAAACTATTGAAAAGTTTTTATTACAAATCTCTCCATACTTCTTACTCCAATCTTCACACAAAGCACTAGAATGGCTTGTGAACAGGTACCATATTCACGAGTACAACCAGGATGCGATCATGGCATTGATACTGCCGTACCATGGATCCAACATTTTTGTCCGTTTCATACAAATTATGCCATTAAAAGCTAATACGAACAGGTGGAATTGGCTGCGACCAATGCAGAAGAATGGAGTTCCACTCAGTAATCAAGTTTGGTACAATCATTGTCTGTCCAACTCTGCTTCGTTGCAGTTTACTGCAAAGATGACGTTGAAGTATGTTAAAGAGTTTGGTGAACGATCTTCTCAGCTGAACACTGTGTTTGCATTCTTCTGTCAAACTGCTTTGGGAGTATTAGAGAGTGGGAAACATGTTAACGAAGGGACGATTAACGCTCTCCTACCCACAGTGTTGAAGGCTATTGAATCGTCTATTGTAGATTTTCGTTCAGCAGCCTACATTGTTTTGGGATTTTTATTTACAAAGGCTACTCTTAAAGGTGAGATTCTTAACGATATTGTTCTTAAACTACTGACCACAGAATTTGATATGACTTATGATATAGCTATTTTGATTACTATGCTATATGCCCACCAAACTCACATGAAGCATATGTCGGAGACTATTCTGAATAACATTTCATTGGATATAATGAACGATCTGTGCGGATATATGAAGAGATCTGTGGAGCATAAGCAGAACATTCAGCCGTTTGTGCTAGCGTTTCTGTCAAGTGTTCTTCGGTTACTGCAAAAAGATACGGAACAGTTCACAAGGTTCCGACAGTTGCCACAAACACTGATTGATGAAGTGGATTTGAAGAATCAACAACCAGAATCTATTGTCAAGTAAGTTAATTTATTTTCTCTTATTGTTGTCTTGTAGAAAGTCTTTACCAAATGTCCTGTTTAGTCTTTTATATTAATGTATGTCTTTCATTCAAAATCTACTCATCTGATTTTGATGGAACTTGACAGTAATACAGTTTATATCAGGTTAATAATAAGCTATAATTTAATTTTATTAATTATTTTAATTGATATTCTTATTCACTCAAACAAAGTGGTGCTATTCCACTTGTGAGAAAATATTCATGACCATAATATTAATAATATTTTATTTTTCAACAAATTTTCAGGTGTGTCCTCGATGCCTACAGATCACCAAAAGCAGTCAAGGTAAAAGATGCGGATGAGAGTGATATTGAGATAATAGATGAAGAAGACTGTTCCTCTAAAATACTTGAATGGTACTCGGAATTCCTAAAAAGCATTGAAAATAAATACCCTGATGCTTTTGACAAAGTAATCAAACAGGAAATGAGCTCTCAAAACAAAGGTGCTACTAAAAAAAGACTTAACTTGGCCAGAGTGTTAGGTTTCAAACCTTCAGTAGCTCACCAAGTAGGTGGTACTTATCTATTTGAAAACCTTAATAATGTCAATCCAGAATTAAGAGTTGAAGCAGTTAAATATATCAGCAAGGAGTTTGACGCACTAAAAATTGAAAATGTTGAATTTGTTAAAGACTCCATTGTGAACAGGTTGAATGATGATGATATTAACGTCGTCACGGCAGCATTGGAAATCCCAAGTCAATATTTGAATGAAGCTCTCAATGAAATAGATGCAACTAAGGTGCTGGTTAATATTGTCAGCAAAACGTCTAAGAAATGGAGAAGTGTCATCCGCCTTGCTATCTCTAAACTCTGCTCTTTGGATATTCTGCCAGTAAACCAAGAGACTGTTTTGTCTCTGGTACCATACCTCTTCCCCGACTGTGAGGAATCGGCTCGCACAGCATGGGACATTTTGAATGCAAAATGGGGACGCAAATTGGGACTGGCTAAAGCCCTAAACCTAAACTCTTCTTACAAAGATAACCACGAGGTCTTAAATCAATTGGTTTTCAAGGCTCTATTTGTAGATAGAGTGAAGCACTTTGACGATCTTCTAGACGTTTATCAGCTAAATAAAAACAACACTCTGGATATCTACACCTTTTTACTCCTGAAAACCTGCTCTTTTAAAGTAGCGTCCGTTGATGAAATAACCGTCACTTTAAACTTGTTGTTGGAGTCTGTTGAAGTAGAGGACAGAGTGATAGTCGCAAGTTCCGAAGACCAGACATTCTCGAACAAGATCATGCCAGAATATGTCAAGTTGTCGAAACAAAATAAGATTCTTTTCGAAGTTGTTGAGTATATTTTTTCGAGAATTATTGAAGACATGCCTGTGAAAAGCCTCCCAAAACCGTGGTGCAATGTGTGTGAAGATAATGAAACTATACTAGTGAGGAGATTGTATGAGATCTGTATTACAGGCTGTGCAATACCTTCGTACGAGAAGAATTACGTAAATCTATTGAAACAACTTTTACAGAAATTCTTCAAAAATTCCCGTGAGAGATTCGAATTTATTGCTAACTTTGCTTGCGGCCATATTTTATACGCGAATGACGCTAAAGATGTGATTGGCCCAGAATTGCAGTTGAGAAGTTTGAAGCTACTCAACAATTTCTTTTCTTTAAAAGATGCTGAATGGTTATATGAATCGGATGTCGTAGTTCTGATGATATTATTCAACTTGAACAATCCTATTACGGCAATCCGGCAGTGCGCTATCGACTCAATAAATAACTTGCTGAGACTGGAGCCAGATAAAAACAAAGTTTATGTACAACTATTTACAGAGCTTCTCGCGCATAAAGAAGAATTGCTGTTAGACCATGAACAGATACCACAAGTCTTGAATACAGTTCTGAGTCAGTCAGCTCCAGCCACGAAAATATTCAAAAAGAACTGTCTGGCGAAATTCACTCATATTTTGGCATCTGACACCCCACCTCATATAACTTCCAGCTTTCTGAAACTCCTGTACAATATCAACAGTGCAAGTACATTCCCGTACATAGTATCTGCTCTACAATCATTGGAGAAGACTTTGGCTCAGAATGAGCTGAATTTAAAATTCTGTTTCAATATCTACGAATCGAACATGTTCAAACATGTTTACAGTCAGATCAACGACAGTACTATTACCACATTCGCGAAAGATCAGATTTGGAAGTCAATAACAGTAGGCTTGAAAGAGTACAGAGAATGTATTCTTGAAGAAGGACAAACGGTCACCAGTCCTTGTGTCTTGATCATGAAGCAAATTGATGAGGATGTTTTCAAGAAAGTTCCTGATGAGAGAACTAAAGATTTGGTTCTTCTTATCGCTTCAGCTGGTGCTTTTAGTAATAACCCGACGATAGCAAGCTCTGCTGCTAAAGTTATGAAGAAAATCCACCTTAACTTCTCTGATTTCAAACCCATATTACAGAGCATGTTAACTGCAGCTGATCCAGCAGCAAAGGAATCTAAAAAGAAGAAGTCCTCAGTATCTATGTTGTCTTACCAAGTCACTGAAACAAATGAATGGAAATTGGGGGTCACTATGCTAGAATATGTCCAGAACAAAAAGAAAATGACTGTCGATGGCACATTTGTGTCGTTGATGTTTGAATTGCTGAGCAAATGCTTGAGATTTGAGGAGCAGTCGTATGTGGAGTACACCAAACAGCTCATTCTTTCGTCTTTGTGGTATTACTGCAAGAAGTTTGTTGATGACAAGGACAGAGACCAGATAAAGTCGCTCAAATCTCATTTCAAAGTGGAACTGGTAGTGCAGTCCATCAGAGGAACACAGAATCCTCAGACCCATCATCATGCCTTGATCCTCCTATCTCACGCTGCGTATATGCTCCCGGAACAAGTACTCCATCATACAATGGAGATATTTACATTCATGGGATCATCAGTTCTAAGGCATGACGATGCTTACAGCTTCCAGATCATAATAAAAATAATTGAAACCCTTATTCCCATTCTCGTGAAATTGGACAGAGATGTCGAAGAATACTCAGAGAAAGAATTACAGCAGCTACAGAACCGCATAGTTCCAGTGCTAAGAATATTTGCTGATGTGGTCTTGCACGTCCCAGAGCATAGACGTTTGCCTCTATACAAGAAACTGGTGGAGACCCTCGGCCCGAACCAATTCCTTTGGGTGTTCCTTGGCTTACTTTTGGAGACACACATCACCCATTTCAATGACGAAAAGAAGAAAGATAAGCGTCAGAACAGAACATTGGCTGATCAGGAATCGCCAATGAATAGGTTAGACTTTGGACAGAATATCCTGCTTGAATTCTCGCCAGAAGTAGGGATAGAAAACTTCATAAAACTCATGGGCTACATTAAGTCTCTGCCGGTTCAGAAAGACGAAGATTCCATGGACACTGACGTCGATCCGAGCGACATTTTCAGCGTAAATGGCCATTCCGCAGTTCAGCTCCGTCAGTACAAATACGTTATTATTACATTCATGAACAACTGCCTCGCATCATCTAGATTTATCCAACACAGTTCCCAAGCCACTGACATTAAAGCGATGGAGACTCATTACAAAAACTTCATTATTAACATCCTGACATTTATCCAAAGCATTTCTAAGTTCAATGACGAGAAAACTGCCAAGTACTGGCGGGTCATGTTGCATCACAGCTACGACCTATTGGACAATACCAACAACTTGCTATCTGCTCCTATGTTCTTATCCGTTGTTAGAGGATTACTGAAGCACACCTTGCAAGCGGTCCGAAGGAAATCAATGGAGTTACTGAACTCCAAAATCCAGTTCAGTCCAGAAATGTTCAATGACGTGAATAAAGATCTTTTGTTTTCCCTGCTGCCTGCATTGCTTGATATAATTAAGACGATTGAGAACAAATCAGAAAGTCAGAACGAGACAGCAGCTCAAGAGCTTGAATTGAACCAACAAACTGCGTTACTTTCTCTGAAGCTGCTAACGAGAATGTTGGCGTCAGAAAATCCTGAGCCTTTCAAGTCGGTTCTGGACACCGTCACAGAATATACATGCAATTCGAACATCACGAGTAACGTCATGGCTTCTGTAGTGCTATGTCTAGCTGAACTATGCAGCAATCTGAAGGCACACGCATTAGCTAGCCTGAGGAAGTTTATGCCAGCTCTTATAAAAGTTCTGAAGAAGCAAAGGGAAGCAGAAACCCCCGAACTTATACTACTGAGCACTGTCACGGCTATATCGAAGATTGTTGAAAGCCTCCCTCTGTTTTTGAGTCCGTATTTGCAAAAGATACTGTACGAATACGCGATACTGCTAGCCAAGTGGCAGACGTTCGACCAGGAGTGCAGCAAAGTGTCCGCGATCGTGACGAAATTGGTTACGATTAAGAAGAAAATCGCGAGTTCGATTCCGCCGAGAGTGCTGATCCCTGTTGCGAATGAGACACATCAGCTGTTGTTGGATAGAGAACACTATGACGCCATTGGCCCAGTGATGTCTGTGTTGGCTGAAAGTTTTGCTAATGTGACGACTGCTGACTTCACGGCTTTGCAGCAAGATCTGACGTCATTCTTCCTGTCAGCATTACAGTTGCGAAGCAACGCAACAGATAAGGATATAGACGCTAATGTGATCGACAACGCAGAAGATGAAGTGGTGAATGCGTTGGTAAAATTGGTGCTGAAGCTTTCGGAGACCAGTTTCAGGCCTTTCTACTTTAAGATATACGATTGGGCCATCAGGACTAATGTGGATGGACAAAAGGACAGGGCTATCACTTTCTACAGGTATGTTTATAATATTTAAATGTTCTTGTACAGAATCTAAAAGTTCGTGACAACCAAAGTGGCCAAAAAGGTGACAACACAACCTTAACCTCGTAAGCCCGGATGTGCCTCAGAAGGAACTAAAACTTTGTAGTCAGTAACGCCGAGACATTTTCGGAGGTGAATTGTAAGTATCGCCGGATGTGCCTTCAGAGGAACTAAAACTTTAGCGATAATTTTAAGTTCAAAAATTCGCGCCTATCGAACAAAAAGAGTGATAGTCTTTGGCTTAAATTATTCAAAATCAGGTATCCGAACTTATTAATGTAAAAAAAACAAAATGTCACTGTCAAATTATCATTTTTCTTTGACAAGGTGGTTCTTCCGAGAGGACGTGATGTACGAATAATTTTTTTTCTTCACGAAAGCGTTGTTTAATTGAAAAACTAACCAGTATAATTTAAGTTTAAATACTGCTAAACAAGCAAAAAATATATTTTTACCAATTCGAAGAAGTTTTGTAAGATTTTTTTTCGTTTGAAAATAATAGTTCTTTGCAAGGAACATTCGGTCTTGATGGTGAAAGTTTTATTTTTGTACATTTTTTTCTATTGAGATGGATTGAGTATTGGACTTTTAAAATTATTATATGATTGAGAAAAATTACCATGAGAATGTTATGATTTTTAGTTTAATAAATATTATAATTAACATGAATATTCACTTTACTTTTTATACATTCTAACCTATCATTATTGTATGTTATAAAACCGATAGTACTTTTAAAAGTACTAATTATGAAACATTAAATAAAATTAAGACACTTGTACCTTTTCAGTTACATTTATTTATATCATTATTGTATCTTTATGTAGTATTAATTTATTAAAAAGTTTACATTTATGTTTTACTTTAAAGTAAAAAATACAATTTATTAACTTTTTATTTTTAAAGTCTGTAATACCGAATGTTCTTTTAAGAGAAAACATTTTTCTATTATTTTTCACCTAAAATAAGCTCTATGCACTATTATCTAGGGCCCCTGAAAATATGAATGCAAAAGAAAATCTCTAACATAGTTTTTTTTTTACTCGAAGTCCTCGGCGTTTACTACTACAAATTATTCGTTCTTCTGAAAGCACATTCGGCGATACTTAGAAGTCGACAAAATTTACTCTTCGGTCTTACGAGGTTAATCCAATGAGAGTTTTCGCGATTGAAAAATCCATTGACAGATATGTCAAAATCCACCAATCATGCAACATTTGGACCTCGCGTCTACGTATTCCTATCTGGCGGATTTTTCAATCGCGAAAACCCTCATTGTAACAAAGACGTGCTGTGAACTTTTTGGCTACATCAGGTGTCTGTACCAAATTATTTCATACTGACTATAACAATTGAGCCTTAAAACCACACAATTTTTAATAAATTTTGGTACTTTAAACGTAATATTTGTGCTGTAATATCTAATTAATCTTTCAGACTGAGCAGTGCAATCGCCGACCAGCTGAAAGGCTTATTCGTTCTTTTCGCTGGGCACTTCATCAAGAACGCATCGGATCTCCTTGACTCATGCAACAATAGCAAAACTGAAGACCTTTTCTACGATTCCGAGGAAAAATGCATCACACTGGTCAAATACATCATCAAGACGTTGCATATAGTGTTCTTATATGACAGTCAGAACTTCATAAACAAAGACCGGTTTGAAACCCTCATGCAACCAGTGGTAGACCAGCTGGAGAACACGCTGGGTGGCATTCAGAGTCTTAAATCAAGGGCCGAAGAGATTATTATTCCGTGCATCTCTCAGTTTGCGGTGGCTTCAGCCGATGACTCTTTGTGGAAGCTGCTGAATTATCAGATACTGCTGAAGACTAGGCATAATGATGCTGATATAAGGTAATTAATTACATAGATCTTTCATTTCATTACTTTTATCTTGGAAAAAAGCCAAATCAGTATTAGACATTTTTTGAAAATTTTAACTTCATCTTGCGTTTTATTTTTAAAGCCATTGGATTTTAAGCTTTCACAGTTGTCTGGCATAAGCAAAATCTATATCCTTTCTATTTTATTCTAAAGTAGCTTTTGCCCGCGGCTTCGCCTGAGCGAAATTTTGCCTGTCACAGAAAAACTTTATCCCGCGCGTCCCTGTTTCAAAAACCGGGATAAAACTATCCTATGTCCTTTTCCGGGACTGTATCTCAAGCCTAATTTCATCACAATCGGCTCAGTGATTTTGGCATGAAAGCGTGACATTCAGACAGAGTTACGTTCGCATTTATACTATTAGTAGGGGTTATAATTTCAAATTTTTCTTTCAGACTCCTAGCATTGGACTCCTTGGTGTCTATGGCCACTCAACTCGGCAGCAGTTGGCTGCCACTTCTAGCAGAGAGCGTGCCCTTCCTCGCTGAACTTCTAGAAGACGGCGACCAAAAGATAGAGACGTGCACTAAAGACGCCATCAGGAAGCTAGAACAGATCCTTGGCGAACCTTTGGAAAAATACTTCTAAGAAAATAATTTTGTAATACATCGTCGAATAAATATATGATAGAAATGGTTGTTTAACTCCATCTACTGGCTTTGTGTAGCACTAAAATGTTTTGGTTTACGCCCTAAGATATTCTGTAATGAAAGAAAATGTTGTCACTAGATGTCGTTATTATAAAAATAATAAAGTTGGAAAATTAGGTACCTTATTAAGTCGCTGCTTTTTGCTTCTCCGACTAATTAAAAAAATATTTTCCACCGGTAATTTGATAACCAATTGTAAATTCAAAGAACGGTCGTTATCAATATTAATAATAAGTATGCTCCCTGAGAACTTGCTTAAATATTCAGGCCTCGAACCATTTTATACTCCTCCCAAATTTCTACAATGATAAATGAGACTTATAAAGATAAAGCAATAGCTAACTGGTAGGAAGACGCGAACTGGCGACATGACCTTATAATTCATTATCGTTTTTGTTGTTTTTCCCTTACAACTAAAAATGCCCACCTACTTAAATGATAATTTGGATGATCGATTTATGATCAAACCTAGTATTTTACAAAGGTAGCTCAAAATCTAGGAACTTGACATCTAACAGCGTCTTTCTTCCATTGTCCAAAGTCGTATTCTCGGTTTTTTTGGCCATATAATTAGTTATTGAACGACTTGTCTTACAGGGGAAGGTTGAAGGCACAAGAGCGCGCGGCAGGTCGCCCATGCGCTGGACCGATCAGGTCAAAACCGCACTCAATGGTCCACTCCACGAGTGTACCTACAAGAAAGGTTGATACGGGAGGAATAGCGAAGGATTGTGAAGCTTGCCACCAAACCAGTTGTGACGACCACGACCACTCTACCAAGAGTGTAGCATGTGCATGTGGATTGAGTGATCCTTGCTTCAATCTTAATAAAAATCGAGGAAGTTTTACTTAAAATATGTTAAAACATTGCGATGAAGTTTAAAAATTTGTTAAACCTAAGATAAAAATGTTATGGCCAATAAATAGGAGCACTCATACCGCACGCTTTAAGAAATCGTCAACATGTTTATTTCAGAAAATAAAGCTTTTCCACTTCTTTTTATAGTATTGAAAAATTGTTAAGAATATGTTAAAACTATTAACAAATTCAGAAATTCCTTGCACGTCCCGTTCCAAAGTTATGACGATTCTTAATAAAAGCAAAATATATGCCAAATAATTGTTAAAAACAATTAACAATTTTAGATACTATCTCAGTCTGCCTACGAACTACATATGAGCAGATAGAGGTAAAAGTAAGGATCACTCACACGGCATATTGGAGGAAAGAATAAAGGTTAATTTCTTCCTTCAGCTTTTAAGTTTTGTCACACTTATTCTTTAACAAATTCGCTCGTCAGTTTGCACACATTTCCCAACAGAAATAAAACGTATTTATTAATAAAAAGTCATTATTTTGAAGAGCACTCATACGGCCCGTGTGCGGTGTGAGTGATCCTAAATAATCGTCATAACTTTGGAACGGGACGTGCAAGGAATTTCTGAATTTGTTAATAGTTTTAACATATTCTTAACAATTTTTCAATACTATAAAAAGAAGTGGAAAGGCTTTATTTTCTGAAATAAACATGTTGACGTTTTCTTAAAGCGTGCGGTATGAGTGCTCCTATTTATTGGCCATAACATTTTTATCTTAGGTTTAACAAATTTTTAAACTTCATCGCAATGTTTTAACATATTTTAAGTAAAACTTCCTCGATTTTTGTTAAGATTGAAGCAAGGATCACTCAATCCACATGCACATGAGTGTAGCGACGAAGAAGAAGAGCTCAAAATACAATTTTATGTTAAAACTGTTAAAATATTATTTTTCAGCTTGCTTGGAATGAAATTCAGCTTCCCATTGTATTTACGCAGTCGTTAAACTTAATTGAAAAGACTTGAAAATGGAGCGTACACAAAATCCTCATCACACTACACGAGCGCCACGCATTCAGAAGATTTTTACCGCAAAATTCTCGACAAAAACCGCAGTACAGTCGTTGGATAATTTTAATTAAACTGCAACTCGGTACGGCTCCAACTAATGGTAATAGATACGGTAGGCTCATGCGCATCCCGCAACAAGTATAAGTACTTAGTTGAGGTTTTTTCCCTGCCAGCCCATAGTATGCCACTGTGGTGAGCTGAGCTACGAGTGCAAATACCTCCTGAGCTATTAAAACCTTCTGAGCTACAAGCACCTGATGAACTACAAGCTCCTCCTGGGCTAGAAGCACCTGAACCACAAGTACCTCCTGAGTTACAAGCACCTCCTGAGCTAGAAGCACCTGAACCACAAGCACTCCCTGAGCTACAAGCACCTCCTGAACTACAAGCACCTTCTAGATCTAAGTTATAAGAATCTACTGAACTCCTGAAGGTATTTTTTATGTTTATACGTTAATACTTCAGGGTTTTTATTTAGGTTTTATCCGCCAAGTAAGTAGCACATCTGCTTGTTCTGGCTAGCTAATGGACAGCTTGTGAATTACTCCCTACCTAGACCTACATAAAATTTGTTAATTGTTCATGTAGGTAAGTGACTGTAAGGTTTTTAATGACAAATAAATGTTCTTTAAACCTAAACCTAAGTACGCCAGCTGGTTTTCAAACCAAGTCTTCTTCATGTACCTCTATTATGGCAGCACTATGTCTGTGGTTTGGTTATTTGCGGAACAGTCTGTCCGCGGTTGGTGTTTGAGTCAGCACTATCCAATTGCACTAATGCAACATCCAAGCCCACCTGCAGTGCATGCATAGAATATGCTAAGTTATTGGATGTGAATGAGATGAGGCCTCTAAAGAGACCAGCTAACACGTTGGGATGGGCAGACTTTGTTCATCAAGCAGGGTAGGTAACTAACTAACTGATTAATCACGAAATCGCAGCAACCATAACACCTACCAACTTGAAATTTTGCAGGTAGGTTCCTTGTAGGGTGTAGACATCCACTAAGAACGGATATTACGAAACTCCACCCCTAAGGAGGTAAAACGGGGGTTGGAAGTTTGTATGTTTCACGCGGGTGAAGCCGTTGGCAAAAGCTAGTTAATTTATAAATAAGTTATCAAGTTGGCAGTGGTTGGAGAAAAGCGAGAGATATTGCCACCCCTTTGTCTTCGAAGGCATGCACTTGCCATTGGCAGAAATGATGATGATGATGAACGATTATTGAGTAGTACGTCTTCTCAGAGGCCTATGTTCAGCAGTGGACGTCCTATGACTGAAATTAATGATGATGATGAGGTCTTCTTATCGAGTCTGAAGATAACAATCATTCATTCATCTCTATTGTCATTGATCTCACAAATAACCAAGAACGTTAATTTACCTTTGCCTAACTCAGGTCGGCATTTTTCACAAAGCAGATCTGACAAAGTTATCGAAATTAAATTCCTTTAATCTTGACATCGCTTTCAGTCTAAATTGGCTTGTTCTTTTATTTAGTTCAGAGGGTCTGGAGGTTCCCCTTCGTGAATGTGGTGTCACTGTGCAAAGCAAAACCGATTGTAGTAGGAACTAACAAAGCTTGGCTTGGTCCAACGAAATTGGATTCTAGCCAGCCACGAAAATGATAAGCTTCATCATAAACTGAATACTGATATCATAAGAAAGAACAATTGATTTACTTATTGTTAGGGTTTTTTAAAAGGTTCGCCTTGCGCTGAAATTTTAGTGGCATTTAATACTTCACGAAATGAAACCTAACTTATTTAATTTTTTTGAAAACCTATTTTCACAATAACTCAACTTATCGGTAAGTAACCCATGCAGTAACTGAAAACTCAGCTTGTCGGTAACAGTTACAAATCACTAATAACCAATAAAATTATGTACAGTGTAAGTGGGCAAACGAGAATAAAATCTACCTAAATGGCAAAAAAAAAATGCAGGAGCGTTGACTAAAATATCACTTTACTGCTTTACTTTGCATTAAGTAACATAAAATTCTAACAGTAGGTAGGTAGGTGTTAATTTTATTCTGTGTTCTTACTTATTAGTAATCTGTGCTTATACCTACTATATCTACATAACAAAATTTCAGCTGTTCTCTACTCTATCCCTCTTAGTTAGCTATCCCTCTTCAGAACTTATCCGTACAAAAAGGTGAACCGCCTCTTAGCGCAACTAAATACTTAGTTACACCAAGCGCAGAACTGCCACAGAATTTATGAAGTACAGAAGACCTACAATATAGTTACGTACAGGTATTATATTTTGTCGTAACTTAGGACTTTTTGAAGCTTTTTCATGAGAAACATAAAAAAAATTGAACAAAAACACTGTTGGTAGATCACCGGTCTCAACCTAATTGTGGGGTAGCTATCATGTCTATTAAGTGAATACCTAGTCAATTACATAGCAGCATTAAAAGGGATGTACCGGAAAGCGCAGCGTAGGATGTCCACCCACAAGGTGGACCAACGACCTACCAATCGGCCATTATGAAAATCATTAGAGGAGGTGTTGTTCATCACCATCATGTTTACGTGGACCTCCTATGGCTGAAATGATGATGATAATGATGAAAAGGGAGGCACAAATTGAGCTGAAACTACAAATTATCATCCGGAGTAGTTTAATAGTTATCAGTTATGTTTATCTTTAACTATGGTGCACATCATAGTGATTGATTAAGGGCTGATTTTTCAATCATCAGTTAACTTTTAACTGAAGAATAAACTTGTCATTTTGACATATTTCGCATACTGAAACTGTCAATATCCCAAACCTATTCTTCAGTTAAAAGTTATCCGACAATTGAAAAATCAGCCCTTAGGCACTTTAATCGTGAGCCTGTAAGAAATAGTTTGTCTGTTCTCTACCTACTCGTTGGTTAAGCCTTAAACTTTGTTGACACTTCACGGGGTGAATATTAAAAAAGTGCTGGGAACTTCGCCTAAGGTTTATCTCGATATTATAAGTAACCACAGTAGAGTACAAATAAAAGTAACACGGGGTTGATTGTACTCTTGTATTATGAGTTTTTTGACTCCAGTAATACAAACTTACTTAATATATGCTTTAACCACACACAT